AAGAAAAAATATAGTCCAGGATAAGAGTAATTTTAACTCGTATGTAAAAATTTTGCAGAAGCCAAAACATGTTTTAAGACCAAAGATAAATAAATCTACAGGAGAAGTATCCAATGTTAGAGAAGCGCTGGAATAATTACATTATTCTTAAATAAACCTGCGTTAATGAGTAAAGAAGAATTTTGTCAAAAACTTATTGTTTTTGTGATTATCTTACGTACTCATCAGCCTATGTATTAATTATTGAAGTATAAATACCAGGTTTAGGAATTTGAACCTATCAAATTAAAAGTATTCAGTTCACGTATTTTAACCGGACAAGCAAAAGCTGCATAAAACTGCAAATTTCAAGTTTTTGTTACTTTTTTCTGATATCCCAGAAAACATCCATTCGATTATCTAGATAGCAAGTTGGATATAGCAGTTTATTTTGACCACGTGATAAAGAAAAATAATAAGAAGATAGGTATGAATGAATACAAGCATAATAAATATTAACTAATTCTATCATATACGTTCAGAATCATCATTTCTGCAAAAAAATAATTAAAACTGTTAAAGATCTTTAAATGAATAAATTTCCTAATGGAGACAATAATAGACTAACAGCAAAGCATAAATTATTTCTGGTAAAAATTATTTAGATTATAATCATTGTTTATAATGCATCAATATAGGAATAGTAATAAATGATGTACCAGCTCCCAACAGAGCATAGGACTGCGACCATGGTTGATCTTCTATGCTGCAACAGACCCTAACCAAATAGAAGAAATTCCGACTTCCGAATGAAAACCAGAATGTCGGCAATTGAGGATGCGACAATATAGTGAAACCGACTTGTAATTAAAACACCCAAAATGTAAGTTTAGGGCTATAGTAAATATTTTGGGAGCATTTTGATTTTTAATTGTAAGATAGTAACCATACCAAAATCGTCCGTACCTTACGAAGTCAGTTATTATATTAGTTATTTTTTATTCTCTATTCTCTTCTGAGTAGGTAACCATTCCACTTTGCAGGTGAACTCGTTAACTAGTCTCTCAATGGAATGTTTTTAATGTTTATGTGGGTTAAGCAACTAAATGACTTGTTCGTGTGAATAGTTCTGCTTATCTTTTTATGCTTGTTGAGTCTATAAAAACCTTTCGCTGGATGAATTTAAATCCTAATTTATTAATTAAATATAGACAAGTATGGATTTACTAATTCATGTTAACTATAAAATATACTAATAAGTAAAAAAAGTTGCTATAACAGCATTTTGTTTAAAATTTTTTTAATTTCCTGTGTTTATAAAAAATTTTCTTAGAATTAAAATAAATTTACTTTTTTAGATTTTTTAATAATTTCTTCTATTCTTCTCATAATTATATTTTTCACGCAACTATTTTTTAGTGCAAAAAAAAAAATAAAAAAAATATTTCGATTGCTATTTCAAGTCTTCTGTGCTGACTTTATTTTTCTTTTGTGTTTTTATCTAGAAATCTGTAAATAAAGTTTTTCAAAGTTGCACAAACAAGAAACAACTCAACAAAGAATTTTCAACTGACTTGGCAGGGCTTAAGTCCTTCTGATTCAACTTCCTCTTATTCTGCGCCTTACGCTTTTCTTGCCAAAGACACACCACAACAAACACTCGAATAAAAAATTGTTTGTTCACTTATTTCTTCTTCTTTTATTTTCCATTTGTTAGTGCATAATACTTTGGAAGATACTAAACGCAAGAAAGTGGTGGCAAGTATAGAACCTCTTGCCGCCCATAAAAATGCTTCTACAATAGACAGCGCACTAAAATAGACAGAAATATCTGTGCAAAAAATATTGCCAGCATCAACAGTTTCACAAGAAGCGCTGTAAAGCTCCGAGTAATGCTCCGACTAAAGCCAAAAATGAGGCTGTTGATATTTTTGGCTTAAACCAAAAGCCAACAAGATACCAAAGAACAAAAGAAATGCAAGGAAAGTTTCCTTTTTGTTGTCATATTTTTTCGTTTTAATTTCATTTTTGACTAAAAAAACCTATGTTCGGTTTGTCTTTCAAGCTTCCGCCTTTTTTTATTTAGTTGTTGGTGTGGAAGAATTGTTCATCTATATACTATGCATATAGGGTGCTTTATTTAAATAGTTGCGAGTTGTGTCCCTTGCTTAATACGCTTTTAATGTTCACGATTTTGAACAATACAATACATGCAAGTGCTTAGAAATGTTCAAGCATTGAACTACTCAAGCAGTTGAATTATACTCAAACTTAAACAGTATACCCCCCCCCTACAGTTTTCATTTCATTTTATACTTACTTTATCTTATACAAATAAGAAGAGCAGCTAATGCTCCAACACCATCCCTATGATATCATTATTCGATCATATTGATGCTCGAGTATTAGAACCGTACTTCGAATGGGTCTAATAATATTTGAAGTACTTATAAGCCTATTGTTTACATTAAGGTCCGTTCTGAAACTATCTCATCCTTTTCACTACTTCCACTTGATTTTTGCATCACAATTCACCTTTTTCGTTTCAAATAAAGTTTGATTTCAAAGTCTATTAATTACTGATATCAACCATGTTTGCTGGCATTTGCTTCCCGTACCATGTCCTTGCAATCTAAAGCCAGGAGTCATTTTATTTAATAATGACTTTAAAAGTAATTAAAAGTAATTTTAATACGTTCAAGTTGCTTACGGTTGATTTTGATGTCTTCCACTTAATCCACCAATGCATTAAACTTTTCTAGAGAAAAATAGGACTTGGCACATTAGTCTTCTGCTGGCTATTAAACAGCATCAGTAGCATTTTTTAAGTAGATGTAAAAGCTTATCGAAATACTTACAAATATAACCATTTCATTGATTTACTGAACGATATTTCTTTCATCTAAACAATATTGATCTATAATAAAGCTAACACAGTATACTTAGTCAGCAGTATATATAAATGATTCTATTCTATATATCAAAGACAACACCTGGCATCCTTTAGTGTGATCTCTTGTTAATCATATGCATATGCCTCTCAATACCTTATCTTATATTTCCATGAGAGCATTCGCTTGGTTCTGTCACCACTCTTTGAAGCTATGGCATTCGTAACTTTGGTCACGAAGTCTAGAACCAACGTAGCTAATGTTAGTACACATTAACCATACCTTTCTATCTACCTCTCTTTCCACTATACTGCGCCCACTCTACTCCTTCTTGCTTACATAAACGTAGACTTACATACTTAATTTCTTTTTATTAACTCTCCGCCCTAATTACTGGCATAAAGTTTTCTTTTTCAATTTTCTCCATTCATACCTATGAGATGTGGTTTTAGTGAGTTAAATTCTTATACAGGAACTGTCAATGCTTTTCACCTATCGATTGAATGACTGTTTTACTTCATCAACTTTCATTATTTTTTTTTGTGCTGCAGCCTATGAATTAATTCTCTTATAAAGGTATGTGATAAGAGACTTAAGATTAAATGTATTATAACTTATAAATTATTATTATATTATATTATTACTATTTTATTATTATTATTTTATTATTAAAGAAAACTATTATCGCTTATAATAAGACACCCTGTATATCTTTAATGTAATAACAGAAAATTTAACTTTGTTAGTGTTTGAGATACACTCACAGTCACCAGCAAAAAGTTGCAAAAAACAAAAAGCAAAGCAAGGCCACCATTTTTTCTTTTGAAAAGAAAAAGTGTCGTCCACTGTACTACGCTAAAGTTGGCAAGCAGCACATCTTTGTTGTTTATCTTTTTTTCGTATGTGTGGCTTCCCTTGCTTAAGCTCTTCAAACAAAACTAACCAATTCACAAGAAAAAGGATGTACGACGACTACAAAGCAAAGGAAAAAGCATAAACTTGAATTTATGCCAAAAATAAAAACAACAAAAAAATCAAGTACCAACAACAATAAAAATAGAACAACAACAAAAAACAATGCAATAACAATAACAAAAACAGTACAGCAACAAAAACAGCATAATAACAAAAACAGCACAACAACAATAAAGGAATTAAACGTTCTCTTTATAAAGGGGAAATCATATGTTAAATTGAGAAACATGCGCAATTGATTGGGGAAATATATAGCCAATCAACGTTGAAACGGGGTGTGTCCAATACAATACAAAGGGAAATTTATTAATGCTTGAGTAATTTCCCATACAATTGAAAACGAAAAAATGGGAATTAATTGTCAACAATTGAGATAATCAGTAGGGACTTGCGTTGTGCTGTATTCGCAGAACAACCCCCATTTCCACTGCCACAAATATACGTGTACATGTGAGTATGTAAGCGCAAGTGGTTGTTTTGCACATACACGTGTTGCGGGATATTTACGTTTCACTGTTGCTTTGCTTTTGTGTAAACATGAAAGACCAAGTGCTGCTGGCCGACAGCGAAACAGCGAAGGGTTGAATTAGATTTTTGGTTGGGATTTTTCATACTTTGTGCATATTTTGGGGTTTGAGTGAATTGCTTTGCCAGTATTTGAATTGGAAGTGGCAAGGCAAGCAACGTAGTGAAATGTTATGATTTTCGTATTTGTCAGATCACATGTTCTCTGACAGCGTACGTAAGCGGTCGTCAGATCGGCGAAACGAAATTAGCGAACAACAGAACAGAAATTCAAACATTTTGAAAAGAAGCAAGAAATTGCGAACTTTTTGATTGTGTGTACGTGAAATAAACAATTGTGATAATGATTTTTATGTGTGTTTTAAACCAAAATACTTAAAGTTTGTGACAGTTATCTTAACGATATACAAAACAAACAAAAAAAAAACTAGTTATTTAAAAAAAAAATAATACAGTCAATTAGGAAAATAAAACTATCTATTGATAAATAAAATATTAATTAATAAAATATTAATTTATAAAAATAATATTTAAAATATAAACTAAAAATATTTTGAAATATTCATTAAAAAGAACAATTAAGTTATAAACTAAAAATTTGGTTTTAAATAAAGGAATTTTATTTTTAAAATGTTGGAATTCTATCCAATGCCCACAAATTTGAATCATGGCGTTGGTTTTTATCCACATCAACAAAATCATGGCGGTGCACGTTTTTTGGATAATCCAAATACAACTGCCAATACACCCAGTTTAGGCAATAATAATATTAACACTAATCACAACAACAATGCAATTAATTACACGCAACAACAACAAATGAATGGAACGACTGCAATTGAAACAACACCAACCAATGCAACTTGTTTATCTAGCAATAATAATAATAACATAACAAATACTAATAATAATAACAACAATAAGAATTTACTCACTTCCGTTTCCGCATCCACAACAGCTTCATTAACAGCGCAAATCATTTCCGCAAATTTAACATCATCAACACCAACAACAACAATAACAACATCACCACCAACGCACTCCTGCACGCCCAACCATAATTCCGTATGTGCCAATACAACAGCAAATGGCCAACTTCCTAATGCCGCCAACTCTACTATAACCGCCTTATCAACAGCACCAACAACAGCGGCAGCAGTAGCAGTAGCAGCAGCGGCACCACAAATAGCCCCAACAACATCATTATCAGCTTTATCAACGTCATCATCGTCCAAATTGTCTGCCGATTGCAGTGGACGCACAGGTATGTTCGCAAGAATTTTCGCCTGCCATCCTTTTGGCTACTATTCTACTTAAGTGTATATGTGTTTGTGTGTGTGCGTATATGTACGAGTGTGTATGTGTGTGTATTATTTCTGTGGGTACACTCATTGGTAGCCTGTCTTGCTGTGTGGCTGTTTGGCGCTATGTCTATGGCATATTGGTCTGAATGTTGCAAATAATTTTGGACTTTTGCGTGTTATGTGTTAGGTTCTTACTTTGCCTTACTTATGCTCCATGTTTTTATTTTCTTTTTTCTTCTTTTTAATTTTTATTAGTGTTTTATTTTTACGTACTTCGCTGCTACTTGCTCTCTTTTCATTAAAAACTATTTTCGGCATGTGGGTGCAATAATAGTATTTTTAGACTCACCGACATTTTAAGACTCACCGATTTTCGGTTTAAGTATCGTTTAAGGTTGTTGCGTGCGATTTCATTTATTTTCGTCGTCCTTAATGGTTGACGGCATCAACATGTGTCAAGGTTAATTAAGCTCCTTAAGCAGTTGAAATATTTCATTTGTTAGTCTTTGATTTAAAGTTTAATGAACTTCTCTGCGGTTAATTGCTTGGCTGCAGAAACGTTTAAGTAAATCAAGAGCTCGTAACTTTAAGGACTTTATTTAATACTATATTATAATATTTATTAACAATAAAATAAATTTTTTCGAATATTTATTTTGTATATATATATTAAAATATATTAATTAAAATATATTAATATATTAATATATATATATTAAAATATATATATTAAAATATATTAATATATTAATATATTTTTTTTTGAAAAATATTTTTTCCAACATATGTATTTTATATATTTATTGTTTTCTTTTAATTATAAATAATTAATTTTAAAATTAATTTTTATTTATATTTTATATATTTATTTTTTTTCATTAACTAAGTGCAAAAAAAAATGTTTCTATTTTTTTTCTATTCATTGTTTTTTTTTTCTAATTTTTTTCTAATTTTTTTTCTATTCATTGTTTTTTTTTAAATTTTAACTAATTTAATTAAAAATTCACTTATTTTTTTCATATTTATTGCTATTTTATTTTATAAATTATGATTAAATATTTGATAAATAAATTTTTAGTAACATATATGCAGATTTGAGGTCAATTATTGCTTAGACTGATGAAGTGATACACAATAATCCCTACAAGGCGTAAAGAGGGGTTTTTAAAATACATCGAGTTAAGAAAGAGTAAAAGTGCTTAATGCACTGGCTCCAATAGAAATAAATAATAATATTTATTATCCATTTATTCTTCTTCTTTTCTAATTTGCCGTTTTAATGATCAAATTATATTATTTTTTTGAACGAGTTAATTAGGTAATTGTTTAATTAACACACAACTTTCAGAAAAAGATCGAAAGCCATAGTGTGAGACTTGAAACCATTGAAATCACCTCTTAATAATGAGTTGAAAAGATCTCAGTCCTCAAACTGAGGTATACCTAACTTATTGTTAAAATATGGTTTTAGTGTGATTTAATTCTAAGACTGGGGCTCGATGGTTTCCACCTATTGAAAGAAAGAAAGTCGAAGAAAGTTTAATAACATATAACATATGCCAGTTTAAAATAAAAAATAAATTAAACACATCATTAAAATTTTAAAATAGTATGTATTTAGTATTAAAGTCCTGATAGCGACAAAGTATTACTTCATATTCGTTCTCAGGCATTTGGACCATTCTTTTGTATTTTCATATATTTAGTATACAAAGTGTCTAGAATTATAAAATAAAATATACAAAAAATTAACCACTTATCTAAAAATATTGTGTGAATCTGAAGTGCAATGTAAGCATTTAATCCAATCCTTCATTAATTTTGTTGTGGGCTGATTATGGTATGACCTTACACTCTTTTATGATAGTTATTTTATGTCTGCAATTGACTAATTACGTCTTTTCAGAACTGTTAATTTTAGTTTCGGAATCAGATAAAAGGCTCAGAAAATGTGGGATCAAATCAGGACTGCACTGAATATAGTCAATGTTTTTTTTTTATCAAAAACTCATTTAAAAAGATGTGTTTTTGTAACGCGATTTTTAAATTATAGTTTGAATTATATTAAATATTTATATTGTTTTATAAAAAATATTATATCAAAGAACCCCCTAAATAAATTGGCTTTCATGTACGAAAATGAAAAATATCATACCAGGTGTGATATTTTTAGAATAGCTATTTTCGTTATCTTTATTAAAGGATAATATTTGGTCTTCTATATTACGGCTGTCGAAAGCGTGCCCCGCGGTTAATCCTTATACGGACCGCGACGTTTCTAATCTAGGCAATTTTTTTTTGTTATATTTTGGTGACTAGATTATTTTATTTTGATGGTATCCCAAATAAATGAATTAAAATGTTTTAAATAATTAAATTAAAATAAATTAATGATAAATTACTAAAACTAAATTTAATATTATTGTAGTATTTAAAATTCAATTTAATATTATTACCGTATTATTATTTTTCTCTGTCAAAATTTTGAACGGTATATATTTATTTCTACGATCCATAAACCAATTCAATGATTTAAATTGGCTCAAGTTCTTATTTGGTCTGGAGAGTCCTGTTCTAAATGAAGTTTAGGAAATGCGATACATCCACTTTCGTTATCTCTACTACATCAGAGAAGAAACGGTCTTCCTCAGTTGATTGCAAGGCATCTAACCCGAATTTTTTCCGTTCCGGTTTCCATTCTGGTTCAAGACAAACCGTTTCGGTTCCGGTTTTTATTTCAGCAAATATATCGGTTTTTTCCGGTTTACGAAATCCTCTACTAAATTCTGCAAAATAAGTAAAATTATTGTCAGAACAAAGGTTTTAAATTATTATAGAGTAATATGATATTTTTATTTATTTATGTTAAGCCTTATCCGAGTTAGTGCATCTGGACCCTTTTACTCTATGATAGCTGGGGATTCTGCAGAGTCCCGCCCATCTCATTGACTAATTTGAGTATTCCTGGTAATCTTTGTGATTATTCAATGATTGATCTAAGATCTGCGTACCGCCCCGTGCGGTTAGTGATTACTCTGAGATTAGATAGTGAGATAGACAGTAGTTATTAATTATATCGCTTATAATTATATTTTTTTAACATATTATATTGTCTCTAAAAACAATATTTTAAAATAATTAAATTTAACGAATTTTCTTGAAAGTTTACTTGGCATTCAAACTTTAATACAATAGAAAATGTTGGAATGTTTGTTTTGCAAAAATATTTAAAATATTTTACACATATTTTAAATAAATATTTATGCAGAATCAGAAATTTATTGATTTCTGAGAATATGAAATATGTGAGATACTTGTGAGAAATATTTGCAATTCAAACTGTTTGCAGAAGCTTTCACCTCTAATTACTTTCTTGTTAACAATTAATTTCAATTGAACTGCACCACAACTGCAGCAATGAAAACAATTAATTGAAGCTATTATTGAGTGTCTGCCACAAACGTTGGACATAATCCGACCAAATCATTGAAAAATGAGTGCATTCAGTAATAAATTATACATCCAACAAAAACACACATAAAAGCCACTGAAAGCCTAACAAGTGCATAGGCAACACTTCAACAAAGAGAAATGCATTTTCCATGTCCTGAACAAAAGGACAATTGGAATTATGAAATATGCAACAAAAGCCAAAAAATATTTCAACAATTAACAAACAAATGATAACCAAATTATGATAGGTACTTGCTACATACGCAATTTCATCCACACCAGTTTAAATGAGCAGCTGGTTTATAGGATACCAGAGTACACCACAGGATATCACAGGATATCACATACAAAATGTCATGCAAATGCGTTCAACTCGCAATGCAAGTTGACCACCAAAGTATTTCGGAAATGAACCTGAAAAAAGGCACACAAACTTGTAAAACATTGTAAGAATCTTCCACAAGGGATTTTAGCGCTGAGATCCATCCACAAGGGATATTAACGCTTACGAAGCATTTATTCGTCTACGCATACGACATTGTCCTTTAGTCACGAATAGTGCATTTGTTAAGAGTGTTCGAAAATATTCCGGCTTAAAAATTTGCTAACAATGCAGGTACGTGTTGTTGTTATCCACAAACATATTGGCACAAAGAGGATATACATATTGGAAGATACTTTGAAAGCCAAAAACACCAGTAAAATACTTGTCGTTTCACAAAGCGACATCAGATACGAAAGGACGTCCAACAAAATTTTAGCACCGACGTTGCATTATTGCAAATATGTGTTAAAATATAAATATGTTTGAGTATTTAATAATTGAGAATTGTGTGTGTACTGACGAAATATACTTACCAGAATTTAGCTAAAATTTCCGTTTGGAATATGTAAGCCTCAAGTACGCTTCAAGTATTCAAGCCAATAACCAAAAATCTCTCAAAATTGCATATGATTTTCTGCAATTGCTTGAAGCGCACTCGTACCTTGAATCCTTGCATTCGTAGTTACGTTCCTGTATTGTTTGTTGGTTATCGACTTTACTTGTGCTTCCTTTGCTTGGCTCTTTAGTATGGATTCTGAATGCTGATGTGGGTTCGAATTCTGTTACTCATACGACATATTTGCATTTCGTAAATACTTCAGTGTTTTGGGTGACGACGCTTAATTCCGCTGGCAAATAGTTTCCTTTACCCTTTTATCGTTACATACGCAGATAGTATGCAGATCTGTCAATAGATAAATCCATAAGAAAGTTGTGGCCGCGGCAGTATTAAGCAACTTGTGTGGTTATGAAATAGTTCATAAGTGTTTGGAAAAATTATTATTACTTAAATCTGAAGAAATGTTGTAAAAATTAGAAAGAAAGTATTAAGGTCTTGAATTGAAAATTGAAATCAGTTTCCTTTTAAATCATATAATGTCCATTGTGATTTTTGTTGGTATTTTTGCCAAAATCAGCTACTGCATATATGTAGCTGATGAACTGCCCATCTACTTCACCAAT